GAAAAGCTTCGAGAAGAGCCAAGCCGTTTGGAAAGGAGATTGAGATGATTTCCACGAGCTGCTTGTGGGCACAATCTGTTTTCCAGCACAGCGGCGGCGGTGGGCTTCAGCGCTGTCCACATTCATTATATTCAGTGATTTTCGGGCGAAAGCCCAGCGGACGCTTATTTGGATGCTCTGATCTCTCCAAATCTCCTCTGAACCTCTCGGCAGGTCGCAGGAGGGCCGATGAACACGGCCAGGAACACGCCGATGTCTTGGCTCTGGCTTTAATCGGACTCAAAGCCGCTCCGATACCTGTAATCACCTGCGTATGATAAACACCTGATGGCGTCCAGATACAGCCAAGACCAATTAACTGGCCGTTCAGCATCAGGGTAATTAACAAGCACTGACTGGTTGCACAGCAGCAGCTCCATGACAGCGGAGGGTCGCAGGATATGACCAAACCACTGGATTCCGTGCTCGGATCATTTTTATATTTTATATATTATACTTTATGTTTCCATTTTAATTTTAGCTAACATTTCACTAATTTTGTGTTGTTGTTTTTTTGCCATTTTTATTTGTTTTTTTTTTGTTTTTTTTAGTTCGTTATTTTTATTATTATAATTTTTTTTTAATTCGTTTTTTTTTTTTTCTATTTTAGTGCATAAAATTAAAGTACATAAACTAAACTAAGAAATGTTGCCTTGGAAAATAGCTTACATAATACTTTTTATACTTTTCATAATACTATTTCATTATTAACATTTTGTATATTTTTTTTTTTTTATCTCCAGTTAACTATAATAACTCTGAATCACATGCTCTGATTGGGCATCAGCAGCGCCCCGTTGCCGTGACAACAAGTCAGTGTTGTGCAAACGGCGGGTCGCCTGATAACCCTGCAACAGGTAAACGAGCATGTGCTCACAGATTGAGCACAGGTGCTGTTTGTTAAAGCGGATGATGGCGAATCGTCTGGCGGGACGACAGAACATTACACGCAAACAGCACAGAGTGAGATCAGCTTATGCACGCAAGATTGCTTACGGCCAGAGAAAGACGCAGGTGCAAAAAAAACCTGGCAAAACAATCAGCTCTCATTCTCCCGGCCTCAGAACGGCCAGAATCCATACAACCGTTCTCTCTGTTCAGACAGACGAAAGACAAAACTAGCACAATGCATGCTGGGACGGATGGCCTCTCCTCGCTCCTGCAGAAGCTGCGTTATTGTGAACTGGAGGAGCAGCTTCTGTTTTCATATTTCACCAAAGAAACCGAAAAACAGAAAAGCTACATTCTGTGAAAACAACTGTGCGCGGTGCTGCCGGTGCAAAAGCCGCCGCTACAACACTAATGTGATTTCTATGGCATCGGCATGTGGTTGCTAGGGTGCTCCAGGTGGTTGCCAGGGAATTGCTATTCAGATAACTAAGCTGATTTTAGATTACTAAGCAGTTACATTTGTTAGGACATTGCTATGCAGTTGTTAAGGTGTTCTCGTGGTCGCTAGGGTATTGCTATGTGGTTGCCAAGGAATCACTATATTGCTAAGGTGTTCTGAGGGGCTTTTAGGTGTGTTGCTAAGCAGTTATCAGTCTTTAGGGTGGTTGCCAGGACACTGTTATGTGGTTGTTAGGGTGTTCTGGGTGGTTGGCAGGGCGTTGCTACGCAGTTACTATGGTGTTCTGAGATTGATTTTTGTAAATCTAGTGGTCAAATGTGGTAGGCTATTTCAGAAAGGACCATTTAAAAGATGAACATGAAGAATTAGGAGAAATGGTGAATAATCAGTTACTACCCAGCGCTATATAGTAGGGAAGTATTCAGATGCAGCGATAGTCAGAAGCGGACATGTCAGCCTGCTCTGCCCCATTAAACTCTGATATATACAATTTAAGCAGAAACAACAGAGGATGGCGTCCAGATACAGCCAAGACCAATTAACTGGCCGTTCAGCATCAGGGTAATTAACAAGCACTGACTGGTTGCACAGCAGCAGCTCCATGACAGCGGAGGGTCGCAGGATATGACCAAACCACTGGATTCCGTGCTCGGATCATTTTTATATTTTATATATTATACTTTATGTTTCCATTTTAATTTTAGCTAACATTTCACTAATTTTGTGTTGTTGTTTTTTTGCCATTTTTATTTGTTTTTTTTTTGTTTTTTTTAGTTCGTTATTTTTATTATTATAATTTTTTTTTAATTCGTTTTTTTTTTTTTCTATTTTAGTGCATAAAATTAAAGTACATAAACTAAACTAAGAAATGTTGCCTTGGAAAATAGCTTACATAATACTTTTTATACTTTTCATAATACTATTTCATTATTAACATTTTGTATATTTTATTTTAGTTAATATTTAGTTTATATATTTTAACTAGCTTAAATAATATGCTATATTTATGTTTTTGTATATTTAATTTATTTCAGTTAACATATATTTTATTTTATATATTTTACTACCTTATGCAAAAACGTAAATACATTTTATTATTTCTTTTATTTCAGTTAACCTATTGTATTTTTAAAATTTTATTTCAAATAACATTTTATTTTATATATTTTTACTATCTTAAATTATATATTTAAGTTTTTGTATATTTTATTTACTTCAGTTAACATTTATTTTATTTTGTTTTGTTTTATATATTTTATTAGCATAAATAATATAATATTTAAGTTTTGTATATTTAATATATTTCAGTTAATATATATAAAGCGGACATGTCAGCCTGCTCTGCCCCATTAAACTCTGATATATACAATTTAAGCAGAAACAACAGAGGAGTGCATGTATTGATTATCTGAAAGACAGTGAGATGATGGTGTGTGTGTGTGTGTGTGTGTGTGTGTGTGTTTCAATAACTCTGCAGAAGAATTCAAGGTCAAAGCTGAACTACATAATAATGCCACACTGAGCTCCAGACATCGACAGCAGTGTCCATCACTCAGGGTCAGCCTGAACACAAAATCACCTTCATTGTCCCGGTGTGTTTTGTGTAAAGAGAGAGACGCCGGCTGTCAGTCACACACTCACCGGTGGCCTTTCTCTGTGAATACTAACACACGTCAAACACATGATACCCGCCGCCACCGTCCTCCACAGCAAAACACAGAAGGGTTTCACTCTGTATCTCACATTTGTCCTGCAAATATTCCTTCCTGACTTCAGCATTTCTCTAGACTTTCTTTGATGAGGGAAGCTTTGATCAAACCAAGACCAGAAGTTCACCTTTGCTGTATATTTAAATGAGCTCAGCAAGCCCCGCCCTCAGTTTCACCTGACATCCGATGCCCCGCCCACTATATTTCAGGAGCTCCGCCCACTCCCATTCTCTCATGTCACACTGAAGACTGCTGAAAATTCAGCATTGCATTACAGGAATAAATTACATTTGAAATCATATCCACATAGAATCGGGTGCGAGGGCCCGTTCATCGCTGCTTGCAGCTTTAATTTTAAATTGTAATACTATTTCACTGATTCTACCATATTTTAATCAAATAAATGCAGCCTTGGAGAACGTTAGAGTATTTCCAGGTAATCCTGCTGTGAGTTTACAAGCTCCGCCCCCTTTCCCCTCTCCATTAATGAGTTCATTCATCTCATTTTTTTTTTCTCCACTATCTGGTCCTCTCTTCATTAAGCCGATCTTCCGCTCACTTTCTTTGCTCTCCTTTCATGCGACCGCAGAATGACAGATTTAATATGCGCTGAGGTGCATTTGTCACTGATAATATTATTATAAACAGGCGACGTGTCTCTCCCACTTAAACACATGTGAATGCGCTCTGACAGTGACAAATAAACGCTCTCTCAAACGTCCTCTGGATAACGCCGATTAAATTACACACGTGAGACTCTGAGGACTCAAGCCATCAGACGACTCGTCCCGTTTGTGTTCTGTTAATTGGCACTTTGATATTCATAAGATCATTTACCAAAAAGTAAACATTCTGTCATTCTGAATTACTGGCACGTCATTTCATAAACAACTTCCATAAAGACTTTCGTAGAATCTTCCTGCAGATGTGTTCATGCAACAACAGTTCAGAACGGCATCTATCAAAACTGCAAACAGGGCAAAACTACTATCAAAGTCGAGTTATAATCTATGCCTTCTGAAGTCCTGCTAGTTTTATGCGATGAAAAGACTTTAATGTATGGTGTTACGGTCAACATATGTACAATATTAGGATGTACATGCCACACTGAAAATCTTCCCCGCCCAAGTTTTATTTTTTTATTTTTTTTATTAAAAATAGTAATGTTAAAAATAACAACAACAAAAAAATTTTAAAAATGATTATTGCATGTTTTTTTTATTTATTTTTGTGTATTTTTTTTTTTTTTTACAAATGTATTTATTTAATTAAGTGTATTTTATTTAGCTAGTAACTTTTATTATTGTACATTTTTAAATGACTGTTAAATTTCAACCCACATTTTCATTTTTCAGGATTCACAGATGAATAGAAAGTGTAAAAGAACAGCATTTATTTGAAATAGAAATCTCTTGTCACATTATAAATGTCTTTACTGTCACTTTTGATCAATTGAATGCATCCTTGCTGGATAAAACATTAATATCTTTCAAAAAAAATCTTACTGACCCTACACTTTTGAACAGTTGTATGGAAGTTTCAGGAAGTGAGAAACAGTCATTGTTTCCTCTGAAGCTTCAGTCTGCAGCAATTAAACTCAATTCACTGAACAGCAACGCTAGCTTGGCGTTCATTTATCAGTAAAGACGAGCACTGACGTAAGGAAAAGCCAACAGAGTAAACAGCGACACACACAAACACAGACACACACACACTCTCTCACACACACACACACACACACGGCAGATAGGAACTGATGAGATCAAATGAAGGAGAGACTTTTAACTGCAGGAAAAAGAAGAATAAATCAGTCCTCAGGCAGCCGTTCCCATTGAGCTGAAAGAGAAAGATGCTGATGGTGTTTATGGTGACCAATCACAGACAGACATGTTGATACGTACTGTACGGGACGCACTCATACTGCACTTCCAGGTATTTGTATGTCCCAGGACAGGGGTCGGGAAACGCATCCGGTCCGGCCACGACGGCGCACTGCGTCCGGTTATTACACCTGAAAACACACACACAGATGGGATAAAGATCATTAGCGGTGTGTTACTATTGCTCATACTCTGGTTTAGAGGTTCGCTGACATTTATAACCTTTAGTCTTACACAGTTTGAGCTCAAAACATGCATTATATTTGCAATTTTTGGACAATAAAAGAAACAAAAATCTGACTTTGGAGGGACTGAACCACATGTTCAATTACCAGAATGTCACATAGATCATTTGGGCCAGTAAATAACTTCCCAGAACCATCCACAGTTACCATTAACCATCCAGAATACCGTAGTATCAACACAGTAATATGCTAAAATCCTTAACAAGCAGTTTTACAGGAATTTTTTACAGAAAGTTTTACACCAATATTTTCTTTCGAAATCTAAACTCTAAGAAAAGTCTAATGATATGAGGGATTTTACAGTATTATTATTATTATTATTATTATTACAGGTGTTTTACCCATATTTTGAATTTTTTTTAAGTTGAATGAAATGTCCGTAAATTATCATAAACTATACTAGTAATTTTCTGAAAGGATTTTTTTTTTCCTTAAATTGTATTTAAAACCGTAATACAGCATTTAAATGGCATCTCACAACTTATTTAATGCTTTAATTGTATTTTAAGCATACTTTAAATGACATCAAGTCAAAATTGACCTTATTTACTTCTTAATAAATATCTCTGCTTGTATTGTGATTTATCAATGCACACTACTCATATTTTTTCATCAAAATGTAATAACTTTATAATGCAATACACTTAGCTGTCTAAATAAGGAATCCCAGCACACTGTTTAAAGCTGATTATAAATAAACCAATCCAGAACTTGACAAGAAAACTCTCTGAAATGTAACATTTAATATACATATATAGGCCTATGTGTGTGTGTGTGTGTGTGTGAGTGTGAGTGTGAGTGTGTGTGTGTGAGTGTGTGTGTGTGTGTGTGTGTGTGTGTGTGCGTGTGCGTGTGTGTGAGTGTGAGTGTGTGTGTGTGTGTGCGCGCGTATGTGTGTGTGTTTAAATAACTATGTTACATCACAGTATACAACATAATTTTATTATTATGCTGTTAGGCTAACCGAGACTTGTCATTTGCACTTATATATTGTTGCTCTTTTGTTAGTTTTGACTGCTTTTATTGTCCTCATTTGTAAGTCGCTTTGGATAAAAGCGTCTGCTAAATGACTAAATAAATAAATAAATAAATAAATAATTTTCAGCAATTTTAGATTTGAAATTTGTGATAAACATTATACCTATATGCATATTTAATTATATAATATAAAATAAGCTAAAAATGTGTAAATAATTATTTAACAAACCAAACCATAACCTTACAAGAAAACTTCCTGGAAATTTAGATTGAAAATCCACAAAAATAAACATGATAAATGTACATAATTATATAACAAATGTAAAATATGCAAAACAATAAAAAAGTAAACATTCTGTAATAGATCATATATGACAAACATTAAAAAAATACATATAGTATAATTAAACCAAACCATAACCTTACAAGACAACTATAGACTGAAATTTGCATTTAAAATGTGTAATAATAAACCTTAGAAATGTATGTTATTATAAAATAAAAATGTGCAAAAAAAAAAAAAAATGTAAAAAAAAAATCATGATTATGTAATATATCATGCATACATATATAAAAAATAAATGACAAATTTGAAAAATTAAATATAAAAATAATATAAAATATACAATTAATATAATTAATACAACTAATATAAAATATGCAAAAAATAAAATAATAGTATAATAGTATAATAAATAATTATTTAACATCACATATAAAATACATAACTGTGACCCTGGAGCACAAAAGCAGTGTTAAGTCGCTGGGGTATATTTGTAGCAATAGCCAAAAATACATTGTATGGGTTCAAATTATAGATTTTTCTTTTATGCCATCAATTCGAACAACACTGATCCACAGCCCCTGACTCATCCTATCCACAGTGATGTACATTAACCACAGAAAGATAGCTGACCTGCATAAACAGTGTTGTTTACTGTGATTTTCACCTCTCCATTCTAAAAAAATAGCTAGAAATGACTATCATACAGTTCTCAATAGGGATGATCTAATATGTATTTTTAAGGCAAACAATATATTAGCCGAAATAAAATGCAATTAATTTAAGAGAAATAAAAAATACGCACTGCTATGATAACCAATGTTAATGTTTTTGAGGCAGATAACAAATATATTAGACAAATAAATAAAAAAAATTAAAAAAAATAAAAAAAATACATTTTTAACATTTAATTAAAAATTTTTTTTATCAGTTTTCCACTGCATATGATTATACAAATATTTACAGATATAAATATAAGTACAAATATTTTACATACTAAACTTTCTACATTTTCTTTTAATAAAAATTAAATGGAAAATGAACAAATGTGACCCTGGACCACAAAACCAGTCTTAAGTCGCTTGGGTATATTTTTAGCAATAGCCAAAAATACATTGTATGGGTCAAAATTATTGACCTAAAAATCATTAGGATATTAAGTAAAGCTCATGTTCCATGAAGATATTTTGTAAGTTTCCTACTGTAAATATATCAAAACTTCATTTTTGATTAGTAATATGCATTGCTAAGAACTTCATTTGAACAACTAGGCAGGCGATTTTCTCAATATTTAGATTTTTTTGCACCCTCAGATTCCAGATTTTCAAATAGTTGTATCTCAGCCAAATATTGTCCTATCCTAACAAACCATACATCAATGGAAAGCTTATTTATTCAGCTTTTTATGTATAAATCTCAATTTAAAAAAATGGACCCTTATGACTGGTTTTGTGCTCCAGGGTCACATATTAAAAAAAAAATATATATCAGCTGTCATTATAGAGTATGTAAAACTGGAAAACTTTAAATTATTTATGATCTTCCAATGAGCAAGTATCGGCTCAATATTCTGATCGGTTATGTTGTCGTGACATCGCATTAAAAGCTACTGCATCCCATAATAACCAGTGGGATCACAAGGTCCAGCCAGTTACGATGCAGGATCGTCCCATAAGAAAATACACATCCAAACGCTGAACTCAACATGAATGAATTATTCCTCAGAGTTTAAGAGGATTGAAGCAAATCTGCTTAGAATCCATCCGTCCTCAGAGAATCCGTCCGACAAACAAACGCTACCTGTTTGCGCGGGTCAGCTGAGGTCAAGCGCTGAATTTAATCAGGTTTCAGCACGGGATGGAGGGGATTTGTTTTAGATTAGAGTAAATTAAGCAGCACAATGAGGATTACACTGCAAATCCCTGATCCCAGGCCTCTGAGTCCACACGGACAAGTGCGTTTGCCTGCCGCCGGTGGGACATTTTCCAAACGATGTTCTGAAACTCAAACGCAAACATCTCCAGGACGTGAGGAAATGAGAATGACAGAAATCAATGGCAGAACGCCGCGCTATTGATTAAAGCCACAGTCACGTGTCGGCAAACATCCTAATTATCAAGCCACCGTCGACTCGTTACCTGCAGCAAACCGCTTTCTGCTCCTGAAAACAGGGCTGGTTTTCAAAAGACGCCAGTCAATAAATCACTGTGGATTTGGGAAGGGAATAGTCATGTTCTGCTTTAGCCTCGTCTGCTGATGTCTTCACCCATCGACTGAATCACTCAGACAAAGCTATGAGCGGATATCCCATTTACCTTCAGAATCACCAGCACAGGGTCCACAATAAACACAAGTGTGACCCTGGACCACAAAACCATGCAGTCATAAGGGTCCATTTTTGGAAATTGAGATTTATAAATTATAATGATTTATATATTTTAATTAAATGTTTATTAGTTAATTAAATAAAATAAAATATTTAATTATTTACTAATTAATTAATTAATGTGTAATATTCTTCACATCAAAAATATGATAAAGACAATGCCTCTGCCGTAATAAATATACCAAATCAATCAATCAATCAATCAATCAATCAATCAATCAATCCCCTAACATGCTTTGTATAAAGTACAGTTGCATGGCTGCTACATGTTCTCAGTTCACCCAATTCAATTTAATTCTCTGAATTGATTAAATCAATGTGTTTTTCTTTGTTTATAGTCATTGAAGTCACAAGAAACTGATTTTTCTTTTTCTTTGTATTTCTCTGGGCAGGCCCACACAAACAAGCCGCTCACTGATGGACATTCAGAAAGCAAGCGCTGAAGTCAAGCTGCTCTCACAGGTCCGTCAGCGGCTGACATTTAAATAAGGGCCAGTTAGTGCGTCCGCCGGCTATAACCACACACACACTTGATAATGTTTAGGAAAATATGAGTGCTGATATGTCAGCCACCTGGATTTGTTGACGTTAAGAGCTGTTTGTTCATGTCCGAGTGGAAATCCATCGCTTGTAATTTTTCAATTTGGCACAGAGGACACACAGGACAGACACATTACAAGACAACTATACAAATGTGTGTGTGTGTGTGTGTGTCTGTGTCTGTCTGTCTGTGTGTGTGTGTGTGTGTGTGTGTGTGTGTCTGTGTGTGTGTGTGTCTGTGTGTCTGTGTGTCTGTGTGTGCGTGTGCGTGTGTGAGACAGACAAACTATTTTCGTGTTTAACACTGTAAAGCTGCTTTGACACAATCAATCTGTATTGTATAAAGCACTATAAAAAGAAAGGTGACTTGACTTGATATTGATGTTTGCGAATGAATTTATCACAAAGCAAAAGAACCAAATAACACACTACTGTTGAATCCAAACGTCTAAACCTATAAGCCTAAACCATAAATCTACACAATAACTCTGTATCTTATTCCTCACGAGAAAAAACACATTTGTCTCCTAAATGTATTTGCAAATATTCATATTTTTTTCACTTATATATATATTTTTCTACATATCACAAATATATAGCAACCCATAAACCTGAACCTTACCTTTGTGAAGAAAAGCACACTTTAAAAAAAAAGCTACTTTTAAAAGAGTAAAAATAATGCTTTAAAAGAATATAATG